CACCGCCCCCTCGGGGGATGGTCTCCCCCTCCTGGGGGGGGGGGTCCCACGTCCATTTCAGCTGTGGTGGGAGCTGAAGGGGCCCCCAGGCTGCCCACCCAGCACCCACAGCCCTGCACACCTGCCTTGGGGAGCAGGTGGGTGTGCTGGGAACAGGGGGGGCAGTGAAAGGACATCACACCACCTCAGGAATAGGTTTTATTTCTTCTGCACCTGCAGCACAGGAAGCAAAGAGCAAGGAGGTCCCTCTCTGCCTGACAAGGGTCAGGAGAACTTCCTGCTTCAACAGGGAAGATGAGAACCTCTCCTTCCTCAGCTGGGGGAAGAAACCACCTTTATCTTCTCATCCCAGGCAAAGGGACACGAGACAAGACTTCTCCATGCTCTGTAGGACCAGGAGTGATCTTCAGCATCACTGAAGGCCACTTCTGCTTGAGCAGGGTCCTCCCCCTTCCTGGGGGAGGTGTTTGGGGTGGGAGAGCCAGAGGTAGTTTGTCCTAAAGGGAGATTTCACACCACTTGGAGGCAGCAGCAGTTGAGGAATGATTAGGAGGTGTCCCTGCCCATGCAGGGGGTTGGGACTAGATGATCTTTAAGGTCCCTTCCAACCCAAACCAGGCCATGAGTCTAGACCTGAAGGCATTTAATGACCCTTGGTCATCAGCTGATGAACAGAGGGACTGAGCAAAATCAAACGGTGGCTTAGGGAGAGGCTGGAGAACCACAAGGTCCACACAAGACTTAGGACAAAGGTTCTGAGATCAAGTCACACCTGAGTGAGGACTCAGAGCTTCTCCTTTGTCAGTTGTAATGAATCACTGACAGCAAATGATCTTCAGATGTTGTGAAATCCCACCGTGGTGGGGAGAGATTCCTTGTTCTTCTCCTTCCTCAGCACCTGAAAGAAGAGGGACTTGGGACCCCTCATGTTCCTCCCCAGCAGACAATGTGTGAACCTCATGAAACCCACCCTGAGAGGTCCCAGCTCGGGGGCAGATTCTGGCCACAGGCCCCCCCAGGGAGCTCAGAAGCTCTTGCTTGGTTATCACTACATGTAGGGTCACCAGGTGATTGTCCTTGGTCAGAACCTCTAGAGTCTTATCTCCTGTTTCGGCCACAACTTGTGGTAGGTGATTCTGGGATCTCAGCAACAAAACCTGCCCCGTGCCCACCTTGGCTCATCTCCTGGTTCAAAGGAGAACTTGGAAAGCAGCAAGCAAAGGCCAGAGCTCAAGCAACCATGCTCAGGCTGGGGGTAGCCCCAGATTCCTGCCTGGTAACCCCAGGAGTCCCACGTCCCCAAACCATGTCCCACCTGGTGGGAGTTTCCCATGGCTGGAGCTTCTGGGGTGGCTTCTGGAAGAAGAAACACACAAGAGGAGAGAGGAGCAGAGCTGGGGGGGCCTCAAAGCAGCAAGATGAGCCTCTGCAGAAGGTGCAGGTGGCCCTGGGGTCACCCCCCCTTGGAGGGTCACCCTCTTGGAGGTGCTACTGAGGCTGGAAAGGAGCTGAGAGGTGCCTCATTCACCCTTCCTTGCATGAAAGCATTTTCTCCAGGTCTCCTGGAGGGGTTTGCTGCCCTCCCACCCCATCCCAACCAGTTAGGCCAGGGGGTCACACGTGTTGGGAAGGAAACAAGATGATGAGCAGGCTCATTTGGTGCCACCCAGAGAGGGAGATCCTGCCTGACCCAGCAAAGACACAGCACCCATCACCCCAGGAGGACCTGGATGGAGAACCTGGGCTCCGGGAGGACCTGGGTGGAGAACCTGGGCTCCAGGAGGACCTGGGTGGAGAACCTGGGCTCCGGGAGGACCTGGGTGGAGAACCTGGGCTCCGGGAGGACCTCAAAGGGTTCCCCAAGCAGACACAGCCCATGGCAAACAGCCCCTCACCTCTTCCTCCTCTTCCCATGCCTGCTGCTGGCCTTCCCACCACCCTTGTCCCCCGTGGGGTGCCTGGATTTGGGGACCCCCCCTCGGGAGGTCGGGCTGGGGGGCTGCGAGTGCCCCGGGCTGGCCGGGGGGGCAGCAAGAGGGGGGATGCTTGGGCAAGGGGTTGCCCCCAAACCTGGGGGTTCCTGCCTCTGCAGGGGGCTGGGAGGGAAGAGCTCCAGCAGGGTGGAGGGCAGGGACCACCAGTCCCTGTCTGCAGCAGGGGGGGGGCACGGGCTGCCCGTGGGCTGCAGCAAAGGGCCCACAGCAGAGGCAATGGTGGCCCGGGAGTGGGGCATGGCTCCGAGCTCCTGGGGCAAGGGCCCCAGGTGCCTGTTTGCCCTGTGCTGAGCTTGCAGGAGGCCACGGCCCATCTTCTGGAGCTCAGCTGCCTGCTGCACGTTGGAGGTGGCCCAGCCATGCAAAGCTTCCTGCAGGGAGGCCAGAGAGTCCTGGATGCTCCTGGCAGGAGGAACAGTGTCCCCATGGGCTGACCCAGAGTTGTCCTCTGCTTCTTCATCTCTCTGTACCCCAAGGGGTGGAGGTGTGGGTTGGCTGGGGGACACAGCCACTCCATGGTCTGCACACACGTGTTCTCTGCCACCAGAGGGGTCCAGGACGGGGTCCCAGGGCTGGCAGTGGGCAGGCAGTCCCGGGGGGTGACATCCCTGCTGCTGGCCATGCTCCCCGGGAGGCTCCAGGTTGAGGAGCAGGGAGGTGTCCTCTTCAGCAGGGGAGTCATGCTGGGGAGCAGAAGTACCTGTGGTGGGGAGAGGGAGTGAAGGGAGCAGGAGGGGAGAACCAGGGTCCCCCCAACCTGCCTGAGTGAGGTGGAGAAGGGAGCTGGAGGGATGATGTCTGCCATGTGATGGAGGCACAAGGAGTGGGGTGGGAGGCAACTTGTCCTGCCCCCCCAAAGCCCAGCCAAGGGCCCTTCCCAGCAAGGGAGGAGCAGCTCTGCCCCCCTGGGCTGTGGGGGGGCCTGAGGCCTCTGCAGCCCCGGTTACCAGCAGCACCAGTGGCACCAGCAGCACCAGAGCCTCTCAGGGCACCAGCACCGGGCTCTGGGGCGAGGGAGCAAATCCCAGTCCCGGGCAGCCCCGTGCCCGGCGGGGCTGGAACCGGTTCTGAGGGTGGGA